TTTTCACAGTATGTCTGATAATATTTTTTCTTCTGGAGAAAGTCTTATTTGCTTTATTTAGGCTAGAATAAATGCAGTTTTAATTGTTTTAAACACCATTTTAAGGGCAAAATTATTAGCCCCTTTGAGCTATATATTTTTGTCAATAGTCTACAGAACAAACCATCATTATACAATAACTTGCCTAATTACCCAAACCTGCCTAGTTAACGTAATTAACCTAGTTAAGCCTTTAAATATCACTTTAAGCTGTATAGAAGAATATCTAGTCTAATAATATTTACTGTCATCATGACAGAGATAAAATAAATCAGTTATTAGGAATGTGTTATTAAAACTATTATGACATTAGAAATGTGCTGACAAAATCTTCTTTCCGTTAAACAGAAATTTGGGACTAAAAATAAACGGGACCTAATAATTCTGACTTTAACTGTGTAGTGTTTGTTTAATTCGCACATTCCTTTTTAGCTCTTCATCTTTGTGCGTTTGTGTGTATTTCCTGTGCATTTCTCTTCTGTTCCCTTGGCTCATTGACAGGTTTCCTCTTTTGCTTTACAAAGCTCTTACATTTGTGTTCCCATTTTGGATTATCTTCAAATGATGGTCTTGTGTTTTTGTAGTGAAGCTGTGAATCAGTCCTCACCCAGTTTTCCTCACACTTCACTCACAACAAACCGACAGCAAAATATAGCACCTTCGGGTTAGTAGCATCGAACAGCTATTTTACAAAGCTGTGGCCATATTTAGGTTAAATTAAATAAATAGTAATATGCGTCAAATATTCATGGAGTAAAATCAGTGAGTGTAAAACAGCAGTATAAGGAGCACTGCGGTGATTGTAATTTACTTTCATTGAATGTCTGGCTTTAGAGGTGACTTTGGCGGAAGCTTGAGGAATACTAATGAAGTTCCCGGTGTAATCTTTTTTAATTTATTATCATAATAATTGTTCGGTATTGAGTTTTAGCAACAGAATCTAACGTTTTTTTTTACTCTTCACTGATTCATGTACACTTTCAGCTGGAAGAGATTTTTAAGATTAGCATAGATTTATTTATTAATGGATAAATAAATGTTGCTAATGATTTAGTACGCTCGTAGTATGATTTAAACATTGTCACAGATGTAAACTACCTGACAAAAGTCTGCAGAAGACCTACTGGTACCCTCATGGAGCCAAGATTCTCACAGAAATCAGTCAGGTTTGGTGAAGGAGAAATCATGGTTTGGGGTCACATTCAGTATAGGGGCGTGCGAGAGATCTGCAGAGTGGATGATCAACATTAACAGCCTGAGATATCAAGACATTAGTGCTGTCCATTACATTACAAACCACAGGAGAGGGACAATTCTCCAGCAGGATAGCGCTCCTTCTCATACACCAGCCTCCACATCAAAGCTCCTGAAAGCAAAGAGTGCTCCAGGATTGGCCAGCCCAGTCACCAGACATGAACATTATTGAGCATGTCTGGGGTAAGATGAAGGAGGAGGCATTGAAGATAAATCCTAAGAATGTTGATAAACTCGGGAGAATGTCCTGTTGACGTAATCTCAAGTGAACCATGGAGTAGGCGGGACATAGAGAAGCTCCTCCCCTTCAAACAAATAGCGTTCTCTTTGATCACAGCTCTGCCAGTGGGAATGGTTAAGCTCAAGCACATCCAATGAAATCAAATTAGAAGAAGGGGGGGCGGGGTTTATATCTTCTAAATGCAAATTTTGCTTTTGGTGCACACTAGCTTATAGATATCCTAAAGATACACCTAAAGAAACTTTTCAAAGGGACTTTCAAATCATGGTTGTTTGTTTATGGCAGGGGTGTCAAACTCAATTCCTGGAGGGCCGAAGCCCAGCATAGTTTAGTTCCAACCCTGCTCCAACACACTTACCTGTAGGTTTCAAACAAGCCTGAAGGACTTAATTAGTTTGATCAGGTGTGTTTAATTAGGGTTGGAACTAAACTGTGCAGAGCTGCGGCCCTTTTGCAACTGAGTTTAACACCTGTGGTTTATGGTGTCATATAACTTTTAAAGGATGAAAACTGTACTCTTTGTTGTCCAGTAATTGTGTGGAAAAGAGTGACCAGAACATCGCAAAACAGAATATCTACATTGTAAATGGTGATGATTTTGCATGAAGCGTCTCTTTAAAAGAGCAGAATCTGCTGTCTTTGAGTCCTCAAATGTGCAGTACATCAGAAAGGACCCTCATTTCCACTGCCGTTGACTTCAGTTCTGCTTTATCTCAGCGGCGGCTGCTGCTTTGGCCCGTTTTCCTGCCAGTGGTTTTCGGCTTCATTTGCCGCTCTAATGAAGATTTAGAGGCTCTGGGGTCTCTGACAGATGAGAGAGAGAGAGCAGAGACTCTAATGTAGAGGAAATTGGGAAAGAGACAACTCAAGATAAGAAATGGACAAAAAAATAGCAAGCATCACCACATCTATAGCATCCCAGCACATGTCTGTCAGTGCTAAACATTCCCCATTCATCTGAAATATTAAAACACGCAGTGGTGTATGGTGGTGTATGTAAGAGTTTGTGTTAAACACTTAATAAAAAACATCATCTAAAATATCACCAGAAGTTCCTGAGACTTTTATTTTAGTATGTTGATGTACGTCCTACTAAAAAATTAGGAATGGGGCCGGCCTTTGTTTTTGCACATCATTCTTTTGTAGCAGTTAACAGTAAGAGGGGTGTGGCTGAAGCGTCAAACTGACATCATCAGACAATAAATGGCTTCAAATGCTCAGACTTTGATAGAAGAAACAGTCCTGAAATGAGAAAAAAATGAAGGCAGTGCATGATTTCATACTTTAGGAACCGATCGGATCACTGAAAAATGGGTGTTGCTAACAAAATGAAGGAAGATTGGTGAAATGACAAAAATAGGGCAAAAACGAGACATGCCTCGATAGCCCCATCCTAAAGCACTGATAGCCCTGCCCTAAAGGACAGATAGCCCCGCCCTAAAGCATGGATAGCCCCACCCTAAAGCACTGATAGCCCTGCCCTAAAGTACAAATAAAGCACTGATAGCTCTGCCCTAAATGACTGATAGCCCTGCCCTAAAGGACAAATAGCCCCGCCCTAAAGGACAAATAGCCCCGCCTTAAAGCACTGATAGTTCTGCCCTAAATGACTGATACCCCGCCTTAAAGCACTGATTGCTCTGCCCTAAAGGACTGATAGTCCTGCCCTAATGGACAGATAGACCCGCCCTATATGGCTGATAGCCCCACCCTAAACCATTGATAGCATCACCTTAAAGAATGGAAAGCCCCAGCGTAAAGCACCTATAGCTCCGCACTAAAAAATGGATAGCCCCTCTGTAAAGCACTGATTGCTCCACCCTAAAGGACTAATAGCCCTGCCCTAAAAAAATGGATTGTGCCACCCTAAAGCACTAATAGCCCCACCTCAAAGGACTTATAGCTCCGCCCCTAAAGAATGGATAGTCTCACCCTAAAGGACTGATAGTCCCACCCTAAAGCACTGAAAGCTCCACCCTAAAGGACTGATAGCCCTGCCCTAAAGAACTCATAGTTCCACCCTAAAGGACTGATAGCTCCACCCTGAAGCACTTATTGCCCCATCCTACAAGACTGATAGCCCCACCTTAAAGCATTGATCGCTCCTATCCTAAAGGACTGATAGCCCCGTCCTAAAGGACTATAGCCCCACCCTAATGGACTGATAGCTCCTCCCCAAATGACTGATAGCTCCACCCTAAAGGACTGATAGCCCTGCCCTAAAGAACTAATCGCTCATCCCTAAAGGACTGATAGCCCCACTCCGATAGCTCCACCCTAAAGGACTGATAACCCTGCCCTAAAGGACTGATAGCTCCTCCATAAAGCACTCATAGCCTTGCCCTAAAGAATGGAAAGCTCCAATCTAAAGAACTGTTTGCTCCGCCCCCTAAAGAATGGATAGCCCCGCCCTAAATGACTGATAACTCTGCCCTAAAGTACAGATAGCCCCGGGGGGTAAGAAGTGGTGTTTGAGAAGCACTGCTGCAAATCGAGTGCTCGTTGTTGTTACGACGGATGGCTTTCTGTGTGTGTGTGTGTGTGTGTGTGTGTGTATAAACATTAGTATTGTTTAATCTCCTCTTGTCTTCCAGAGCACTAAGAACTGGAGGGCGGCTGTGGACCTGACGGGCCGACTGCTGACGGCTCACGGACAGGGCTACGGCAAGAGCGGACAGCACACCACACACACCACTGACTCACTACAGGTCAGCTGAAGCCGGGCGCGCACACACATACAGACAAGCATGCTCACACACTCGCACAAACTCTGACACACACAAATACATACAGACACAAACACTGACACGCATACCCTCTCTCAGACACACACACACTGAGACACACACACACACATTAACACAAACACTGACATGCATACCCTCTCTCAGACACACACACACTGAGACACACACACACATTAACACAAACACTAACATGCATACACATGAACACACAGATAACCACACTCAGATACACACACTGAGACAAACAGAGACACACACACGCGCAGACACGCACATTTGCACACACTGAGATGCACACAAATACGCACATGCACACAAACACACTCAGAAAAGCTACAGCAGTAAGTAAATCCTCCTCTATAGTGGCATACAGTCATGTGAAAAAGTAAGAACCCCCTATAGAATTGCATGGCTTTCCATATCAGAGCATAACACAAACACACACACACTCAGACATGCACATCAAGAACATCATCTTGTGACATCTCACAGCGCTTGTACCACGCAAAAATGAATGCAAAGATTAAGAAATGTGTGTGTGTGTTGTTCTCTACACAGCTGTGGTTTGTGCGTCTGTCTCTCCTGATGAAGCTCAGCCTCTTCCAGAACGCTGAACTGGAGCTGGAGCCGTTCGGGGATCTGGATCATCCAAACCTTTACTATGAGTATTACCCCGCCGTTTACCCGGGAAGACGAGGTAAATGCATGTAAACCGCATCTCATGTGCTAAGCTGTAGTGTTTGTTTGTGTTTCTAGAAAGGAAATAGTACATTAATTGATCAAGGACTCATTCGGTTGTCCAGAAGTGATGGCAGAGACATTATTAAGTCATGAATTTTGTTTATTAATTCTGTTTAAGTCGATTTCTAATTCAAATGAACGTTATAAAAGATTCACTAAAAATGTTTTAACAGTTTTACGAGCCATTAACAATAATCCAGCAATAATCGAGCATCATATCAGCATATTACAATGACTTCTGAAGGTTGATGATGAAAACTGGAGGACTGATGATGAATATTCGTCTTTTGATTATGCAAATGAATTACGTTTTTAAATATATTTACATACTAAATAGTAAACTGCGACATTTATTAAGATGCTAATGATTAAATCATGTGCTTTATCTTTTTGTGTTATTGCTAGTGCCATTGTTGTTTGTTAATAAGTTAGGCCTATCTATGACGATTATTGTATTATTTATTATAAAGTCAGTTATATGACAGTGACACTGTTATAAAACACATGACTCAATTGTTAATGGCCTCATGACAATCATGTTTATGACAGATTTATGACAAGTTATGTTGTCTTGATAAAGTTGTCATAACTAGGGAAGGATATACACTTCATTGAACGTGTACACATAGACATCACCCATATACTGCATAACTGCTGGTTAATTATGTTTAAACAGTTAAAAGCTATTAGTTACTAGTTAAAGTTATTAGTAAGCCCACACGGAATCTGCACGCGCAGATTTCTGCAGATTTTTAGCTTATTATTAATTCTGTTTATTTACTTGAGTAAATGTGTAAATCTAAATTTATTCAGTTTTTATTCAGTAATTAATTACTTTTTATTTCATATATTAAGGTTTTAGTTATGATACTTCGCTGGATACTCCCAAAATAATTCCGCAGAAACCCGCAGATTTTTACCAAAATTCTCAGCAGAAATAGCAAAAAACGTCCGCAAATTCCGTCTGGTCCTGGTTATTAGTAACTAATAAAGGTATGGTAACTAATAACCTTACATTCTTGATTGTAATTGATTGTACACTCTTAAAAGAAACGGTTCTATATCGAACCAAAAATGGTTCTATCAAGCGCCTCATATATGGAACCATAATAATAGAACCATTTTAAGGGTTCATTAAATAGAACCCCAAATGGTTCTTCGAATTCAAGTTAGATGGTTCTATTTTAAACCGTTTAAGGGTTCTTTATTTAGGTAGCAGTGCAGCGCTCTGTTTACACGTGGCAGGCCAGAGTCACGGTGGCAGGCTAGATTATTGACCATCAGGCCACCGGGAAAGGTCCCGGTTCTCCCTATGGCCAGTCCATCCCTGGATATTATTAAAACCTTTTAAAGCCAAACATATTTTAATAATCTATAGATGAAAGATCAGGTGTTATTTATAAAGGACACAAAATGCAGGCTAAATGTATTTTGAAATATTAAACCTTTAAGTATATATATATATATTGTGTGAATGATGAAGCTGTGGTGGACTTCTCCTTTCGAAAAATTAACCATCACTCTCGAGGCTCTTCAACACCTGTCCACGACGATGATTATTAGTTTTAAATAAATTATTAAATCATAAAAACATGGTACTGCACAGTCTAAATAAATAAACTGGATATTTTATTTATTTCAAAAAATAATTTGTTAAAAATGTTAAATATTAAGTATATATAAAATATAAGTTATTTGCTAATGTGCAAACCTGAATGAAAAAAATCCCATCATACTGTACACTGATAAAGTTTTTGACCACAGCATTCATTTTATTAGGTTTGACTCAAAAAGCTTTGTCTCTCTGTGTTATAGCTTATAATTATTTTATAATCTTTACTAGATAATTATGTTATGAATCAAAAACTATAGCACCAAGGTTCTTTGCACTCAAAGGGTTCTAAATGGAACCATTTTTTGGGTAAAAGGTTCTACTGGCCAAGTATAGAACCCCAAGGTTCTATATAGAACCTTTAGGAATCTTTTTTTTAAGAGTGTAATTGTCCAATTTCACTACATGTAACAGTGTTGCGACAAATAAAGGCTCTTCATCATATTAGAGATGTTGCGAACCACCGAAAATCTAACGGACCCTCTAATTTTTGTGGCTTCAGTCATTGTTGGGGTACTCTTTTAAATGTGGAAGCCCTAACATCTTGTATACAAATATATGTCGTTATCGTTCAATATGGCAAATAATTATGGAGATTGCATTTTTGCAATATCGCCCAGCCCTAACGACAGCTGTCATAAGCATGCATAAAATGACGTTTGCCATGTCATGATTTTAAAGATGTCCCTTTAACTTAAGTGTAACCGTCTGTTTTGGTCTGTGCAGGCTCAATGGTGCCGTCCTCCATGTGCCTTAATGACACTGTTATAAAACACATGACTCAATTATTAATGGCCTCATGACAATCATGTTTATGACAGATTTATGACAAGTTATGTTGTTATGTATGATAATGTCAAGTTGTCATAACTAAGACAGGATATACCCTTTATTGACCATGAACACATATACATCACCTGTATACTACTTAACTGATGGTTAACTGTGTTTATATATAATAACTTTAACCATTAAAAGCTATTCGTTACTAGTTAAGATTATTAGTAACTGATAAAGGTATGGTAACTAATAACCTTACCTTTTCCAAATTTGTTTGTAATGCAATAATATGCTTGTTTTTTCAAGCACCGTTGAAACAACAATAATTATTATGAAAAGAACTACATAAATGAACTAGAATTGAGTATGGTATGGTTATGTCAAGTTGTCATAACAAAGACATCTCAAACAATGTCATCTTTACATTTTAAAAGTCAGAACTAAGCGAATGACACTTAACGACAGCTAGGACTGGGCTGATGAACAATATTATATCGAATCGCAATAACATTTAAGTCAATAACAATGATAAGCTCTGGACTTTCTATATCGATCCAAGAGCCAATCACACGGCAGAAATGTGCCCCAATGGCAATCTATAAATGTGTTGATATTGCCCTACTTTAAGGACAGTCTGAGTGGGGCTTTTTTTAACCTCCTTTTATATGCTACGCCTCGACTGACCTGTCTTCCCCTGACATGTGTGATGTTTGTGCATGGTCGGAGGGGTCCAATTTCGCTACATGTAACAGTGTTGTGACAAATAAAGGCTCTTCATCATATTAGGGATGTTGCGAATCACCGAAAATGTATTGGCCAAAAATATGTTATGCTAGTTAACGGACCCTCTAATTTTTGTGGCTTCAGACATTGTTGGGGTACTCTTTTAAATCTGGAAACATTAACAACTTATAAACAAATATACAGTTGAATTCTGAAATATTAATCGCCCTTTTAATTTTTTTTTTCTTTTTTAAATATTTCCCAAATGATGTTTAACAGAGCAAGGAGATTTTCACAGTATGTCTGATAATATTTTTTCTTCTGGAGAAAGTCTTATTTGTTTTATTTCGGCTAGAATAAAAGCAGTTTTTAATTTTTAAAAACCATTTTAGGGACAAAATTAGTAGCTTCATCAAGCTTTTTTTTTTTGATAGTCTACAGAACAAACCATCGTTACAATAACTTGCCTAATTACCCTAACCTGCCTAGTTAACCTAATTAACCTAGTTAAGCCTTTAAATGTCACTTTAAGCTGTATAGAAGTGTCTTGTCAAATATTATGTACTGTCATCATGGCAAAGATAAAATAAATCAGTTATTAGGGATGAGTTATTAAAACTATTATGTTTAGAAATGTGCTGAAGAAATCTTCTCTCGATTAAACAGAAATAAAGGGAAAAAAAATTAACAAGGGGCGAATAATCCTGACTTCAACTGTATATGGAAAATAATTATGGAGATTGCATTTGTGCCATATCGCCCAGCCCTAACGACAGCTGTCATAAGCATGCATAAAATGACGTTTGCCATGTCATGATTATAAAGGTGTACCTTCAACTAAGGTGTGACCGTCTGTCGTGTTCTGTGTAGGCTCAATGGTGCCGTTCTCCATGCGTCTTCTGCACGCCGAGCTCCCTCAGTACCTGCAGAAGCCTCAGGAAACTCTGGACCGTCTCCACAGAATAAAGAGCGTCTGTCAGAAGGTGTGACCTCAGCATTACACTGCTCACATTTAATTAGCGCAGCTGTAATTGCCGCTGTAAAACTCATGCTCTTGTCCTTTCACAGATCCTGAGCAACCTGCAGGAGGGTCTGGCTGAGGACGGCAGTATGGTGAACCTCACGCAGGAGAACAGACTCGGTACACGCTTCTCAGATCTCTGCTGCATGTCAAACACTGATGCCTCGAGCTTCCAGAAATTTCCGTTTCGGTCCAGACTTTAATTTCAGTGCATCTGTATATTAAACATAAAATTCTGCGCCATTGACTTTAGACTTTCTTCTAGTTGGTCAGTAGTTAGTCTATTCCAGTTGCATCTTAACACTCAAATTTAACACTCAAATCATTCCAGGGCTCGAAATTAACTTTCTTACTTGGTAGCACTGGTGCTCCCAACCTGAAACATTTAGGAGCACCAGAAAAAATTTAGGAGCACCCACCAAAAATTAATGATATTGACAAGTTGTATATTAAGGGATTTATTGTATTTGAAAACAGCATCATTTGGGACTAACAAAACCCAGAAACAATTATCTAACTAATGCTGTGATGATTTAATATTTGTGCAATATTTCCAAAATTAATTTTGAATAATTATAAAATATTAATGATTAATGATGACAATAATACTAACAATGAATTATATTTCTCATCATCACGCCGCTTGAATGTGCTTTAATGTAAGTTATCTGCTATATAAAGTCCTGCTGTTACTCTATGGAAAATAAATTGATGGTTTGCATCAAACACAAATGAAGCATTGCAGTAAGAAATATTTATTTTGTACTGCTGTTTTTATATGCATGTCAATTTATAAATACTGGCCTATTTCTGCTACAAAACAAACAAAATATTATAATAAATCATTCGATTCGATGCTGAAAGGTGCAAAGCAGTCATCAATAATTAAATAGAAAAATAATATACACCTCAAGAAAGAACGGACAAAAGAAAGGAGAAAAATTCTCACTTTTAAAAGTTTTGGTTTCGGTTCTTGTCGTTTTAATGCTCAGCTTCGTTACGCGCTGAATTTCATTTTTCTGTGTTTGTGAAAAAGCATGCGAGTCAGCCAATATGAGGGGGGCAGAGCAGGATTCTCCCAATAACCACCGTCGCAATACTGTTCCTTGTTATAACCCGCATCAGTTTAAACTCAGTAAAGGCAAGCTTCTTTGGCGATGGTGTTTTAGCGGACATTTGCGCTGTTGCAGCCTGATCTCACGAGGAAACGTATGAAAAAGTTACGAATTGCCGTGAGATTGTGTTGGCTGAACACGCAGCGCATGCAACGCATCGAGATTCAGTGTACTTTTCACTCTTCAGCAGTTTGCATTCCCCGCGGTCACAAAAGCTCACACAAGTGGTGCTCGCTGCAGAGCCATCCAAAAGCTCCCTCCCTGTCATCTGACAGCGGAAAGTCTTGAGTGATTGACAGCTAATATAAACCAATATAGCGTCAGGGAAGAGCTATTCAGCACGTTTTTAGAAAAAAAAAAAAAAAACAGGTCGCACTCCAACCTAAATATTCAGTCGCACGAATGCTCCCAATATATATTATGAGGTCGCATAGCTTAAATTTCGGGCGCATATGCGACCAAAATGGTCGCTATTTCGAGCCCTGCATTCAAACCAGCACATCCATGATTGCACGTATGCATTTGCTATTTAAACAACATGGCACAGAATGTGGAAACGATACCTGTGCCAAGCTGAAACTAGCAAACAAACACTTACATTGCATTGCAAACTCATGTTTACACCATTTCTGCACTTTGAAATCTCTGCAGCAGCTGGAGGTTTGTAGTCCACAGCATATTGCTGCAATGTTTACAGTGCTGGTCCTATACTTTCGGGTTTCTTCCCACCGCAGCCTCGCTTTGGTTCTTTAAAATGGCGGCTGTGTGAAATTGCCCCGGATTTCGCCATTTTGAAGGGAAAGCGGTCACTGCCCATTGGATCTTATTGCTGTCGTGATGGGGAGCAGCTGCTTTGTTTTTTTAATTAATTTATTTAAAAAGCACATTAAAGCTGAGATACGACCTGAAAGACGACAATACAACACTTACCATCACAATCATCAGCACTTTTATTCTTTTATTTTACAGACTTATAATATGCTGCTGTTCTGTTGGAGTTTTTATTCTAAAATGGCCGCCGCGCCATCTAGTGGCTGTTTCTCAAATCGCACTAGAGTGTCGCCTCTTGGTGATTCTATGCTCTTTGTCCATGCCTAGTGTATGATAGGGCGCTTGGACTCGAACCATTAAGCACTTTTTTTATTTTTTATGTTTGCTCTATTGTTTTCTTCTGTGCTTTCATTTTTGTATAATTATGGAGATGTGCCAAAAACTTACCTTAATCAATATTGACCTTATTCTAAAATGCGGAAGTGCGCCTGTTTTCGCGATTGTCTTAGAACTTCCGTTTCAGTCGCCTATGGGAGAAATGACTAGGAATAATAAATGGCAGAAAACGGTCAAACTACTTGCTCTACAAACAAATGTTTGCATGACTATACAGACCAAGTAGCATAATATAACAAGGAAATATCAGTTTGCAACATCAAACAGCGAAACGAGCAGTTTTCAATGTCTAAAAATGAATGGAAGTGAATGAGACCGGAAGTCTCGTGCCAAAAAGATTCAAATGGCAGCGCCTGCTCGTCTGCGGAAAATAAGGTCAATAGAAAAAGCATCTAGTTTGCTTTGCTTAAAAAAAGTGAGTAAACCTATTGCCTTAAAATGATTCAGCAAATGAGTATTGTGCATAATTACAAAAATTAAGTGAACTGTTCCAAGTTATAACAGATTTACTCACTTTTTAAAGTAAAGTCAACTTAATGCTTTTAGGGCAACAGGATGAGTCGAACTTGAATGATTCTCTTGCGTAATGTCTAAAATGATGACAAAACAGCTGATTTTGCTTTAATTTGAAGATTTATAAGGCTGAACGGCATGAAATGCCATCAGTCTACAGAGATGTCCCAGTATTTCTCTGTTGCAATCGGGAGATCACAATAATTAACCCTGAAAAAGCCAAAGATTACTGTTCCAAGTTATAACGGATTTAGGGCCCTATCATACACCCGGCGCAGTGTGGCGCAAGACGCGGCGCAATAGTCTTTTGGTAGTTTCAGCTTGGCGCAAGAGTGGTTTTGAGGCGTTGCGCTACGCTGTTTAAATAGCAAATGCATTAGCGCTCATTTGTGCACACATAGCCGTTCTGGTCTAAAAAGGAAGGCGTTCTGAGGTGGACTGCTGGTGCGTCGCTATTTTAAGAAACTATAATAGATTTTTCATCAGACCAAAACAAACCCGGTCTAAACTCCAGCGCAGAGTTGCGCCTCGCTTACACACTGCTTAATACACACAAGAGAGCAATAGGCAAATATCTTTACATATGAAAACATTTAAATATTAAGGATATATATAGGATATAATAAGAATAGATATAGGATATAAATATAAAGGATTAAAATATTACAAAACATATTATTTTCTAGCCTACATAAATATGAAAAATCACTGCTTTTATGTCTTCTTCATCTCGGGAGGCTTTTTCAGTTCATTCATAACAATTTGCTTTTGTATAATGTTATTATTATTAGCCGTATTATTTATTATATCCATATTTATATTTGTTTTATTAAAACAGGCTTAGATTTGCCCACCTGTCAGGTTTTAGACCATATGGGGCACAGCATGTGTTTTAGGATATAACTCAGGTTTTTGAGCACACTTTGTTATTATTGTTCATTTATTCGTTTGCTGGAAATTAGAACTGAATTTAAAATAGTTTTGAAATGAATATTTGCGCTTAACAAACAAAAGTATTTATTTATAGACTAATTGATGTCTGTGCGTAAAGGTTTCCCTATCCAAGAGCGAAAGTGAAAGTGATCCATTATCTCTCATTCTCACGCAGTAGATGCTCTGTTTAACAGTTTTCTGTTAATAAACTGTGAACTGTTTGCTTGTGAAATGCTCAGTTTTTCCACTTAGACTTACTTTGCGTCCTGTAAATAGTGAATGCGCTCTTGGCGCGACGCAGCTGGCTCTTAAAGGGAATGGGAGATGAGACTCTGATTGGTTTATTCTCAAAACACACCTATAACTCATTAAGAAATTAAACTCAACCCTTTTAGACCATGCGCCACGGCGCAAGGCAGATTTCCCGCCCTTAAATTAGCAAAAATGCGTCCTGACACGCCCTGAAAGCGTTTGCGCCCTGCGTTTTGCGCTCTGCGCATGGACCGTCAAAATAGAGCCCATACTCGCTTTTTAAAGTAAAGTCAACTTGATGCTTTCAGGGCGACAGGTTTACTCACTTTTTTTTTTAAGTAATGCAACTAATCACCTTTTATAGTGTATGAATTTTCTTTAAACAGAGTTACTTAAGTAGTGAAATGATATTCATATCACAATTCATATCGCAGAAAAACAGACAATTGCAATGTCAGTTTGTTCCAATATTGTACAGCCCTATTATATATTATTTAGGTAGCCTATTTATCATACAGTATATACACAGTGTACACACACAAACATGGACAATTTTCACACACATGCATGCAGCGTTGTCTATCCATCTCTCTCACTCTCTCTCTTTCACACACACCCACACACAGAGATATGAGATCAGATGGGCTGATGGGGTCTACAGTGAGCCAGAGGGGGGAAATAAATGCAATTGTCACTGTGTCTTTCCCTCCTGCACTATAATTCCCGCCAGCAGACAAATAATTGATGTTTCAGAGCTGGGAACCGGAGGAAAAGACTGCAATTTCCAATTCCCTCCATTTGCTCAGTCCATCTCTTTCTGTCTCTCTCTCGCTCAGCCTCTCTGGAGCTGTGGAGGTCACGTCTGAGCAGACTGATGTACTCCATGGCCAACTGTCTGCTAATGATGAAGGTACGTGGGCTCGCAGACATACACCTACTGTATACACTCATATCTGAGTCATAACTGCACATCGATATTCACGCCAATGCATGCGGTTATGCATGCTCTATAGTCCTGTTGAAAAAAAAACAGTGTCTATGCACACATGCTGAGTCTGTTTAGTATCCCCTATATTTGAGCACACACACACATGCACACCACACAGGTTATCATGTTATACAAGTGCCGTCTGCTGGCCAAAGGTGGTAGTGATGCCATAAAAAGGGAATAGATGGTGTTCTGTCCTACATGTGTATATGTTTAACAGAGCAAGGAAGTTTTCAACATATTTCCTAATGTATTTTTCTGCTGGAGAAGGTCATTTTTTTTTTAGTATGGCTCTAATCTATATTTATGAAAGGAAACAAAGCTACGGTGTCCACATGTGTGAAGCTTAGGGATTAAACTGAACTAGAATATGACAAATGTTTGATGCTCTCAAATCTTGTTTTTCATCCCACATTTATATTCAAACTGAACATATGACCTGAAATATTTATATATATTGTAGCACTGTCACATGAATAATTGCAATGAATCGTATCCAAAATAAATATATATTTTTATATTTTATAATTTTTAAAAATATTTATTTTTTAACAGAGCAAGGAAATTTTCACAGTATGTCTGATAATATTTTTTCTTCTGGAGAAAGTCTTATTTGTTTTATTTCGGCTAGAATAAAAGCAGTTATTAATGTTTTAAAAAACATTTTTGGGACAAAATTATTACCCCTTTAAGCTATTTTTTTCTAAGCATAATTGTTTTAAAAACTTATTTGTAATAACTGATTTATTTTATCTTTGTCATGATGACAGTAAAAATATTTGACTTGATATTTTTCAAGACACTTCTATACAGCTTAAAGTGACATTTAAAGGCTTAACTGGGTTAATTAGGTTAACTAGGCAGGTTAGGGTAATTAGACAAGGTATTGTATAACAATGGATTGTTCTGTAGACCAGTGGTTCCCAGCCTTTTTCTTTGGGAACCCCCATGAACCTATACAAACATTGGAAGGTTGGGAACTACTGCTGTAGACTATCAAAAAAAAAAAAAAAAACACAGCTTAAATGGGCTAATAATATTGTCCTTAAAATGGTTTTTAAAAAATTAAAAACTGCTTTCATTCTAGCCAAAATAAAACAAATGAGACTGTATTATATTATCAAAAATATTATCAGACATACTGTGAAAATTTTCTTGCTCTGTCAAACATAATTTGGGAAATAAAAAAATAAAAAGCAAAGAGGGGCTAAAAAATCTGACTTCAACTGTTTATAGAAGTGAATTATTAGTCCTCCACTAGTACTTTCATGTTGTTTTTGTCATTTATTTTTTACTGATATTGTATGGCTAAGAGCTGCAGGAATAAACACATTAAGATGATAATAATAAAGATTAATATATTATTATCATATATTATTTATATATATATATATATATATATATTATTTATATATATATATATATATATATATATATATATATATATATATATATATATATATATATATATATATATATATATATATATATATATATGTGTGTGTGTGTGTGTGTGTGTGTGTATAAAATAATCAAGAATTAATTCACTAACAGCTAATTCTCTTGTTTGTTTTGTTCGTCTCACATGAAGGACTATGTGTTGGCTGTGGAGACGTATCGCTCCATCATCGAGTTTGAGCCGGAGCAGAAAGTGCAGCTGCTGAGTGGAATCGGACGCATTTTCCTGCAGGTGAGAGCAGAGACGCCTGGGGCCTGTAGCATGAAGACAGATCAGCTGGATACGTTTTAGTTTAGTTTGCGCCAATTCTGAGTTTTAGGTACCATGAAGGCAGCTCAGCTTAGCTCTCACTGAACGACTGAACGCTTGTCTTTCCTCTGCAGAGTTGCTTATTTTTGAAGAGTATCAAAGAGTCTGTTTTGCTCTTCATGTTTTATCTTCACTCAGATGGTAATTAACTTTCTGTTTGCTGGGATTATTAGATCGGAGACATCAGAACTGCGGAGAAATATTTTCAGGATGTGGAAAACGCCTGTCAGTCAAAGGGAAAAACAGCCACTGAAGAAACCTCGGTTCTGATGAACAGGTAAACGCCGATGTCAGTCACTTACTTCTATATTTCATGTGTGCACAGTATAGTATTGTGTGCGTCGCAGATGAAAATGAGAACGGAGGTCGTGTCGTGGATGAAAGTTAGGACCGGGGGGATGCGTCACTGATGAAAGTGAGTACCGGGTAGGGTTGCCGCCCTCACTATTATGCCGCCTTATGGACACGCCGGCCCTGAAGATAGTATTGTGTGCGCACGACATATACATACACATTGTGTGTGCACAACATAGACATACATATCATGTGTGTATGGCATAGACATACATATGGTGTGTGCACAACATAGTATTGTGTGTGCACGACATATACATACATATCGTGTGTGCACAACATAGACATACATATCATGTGTGCATGGCATAGACATACATATCGTGTGCAAACGACATATACACACACACACATCATGTGTGCATAACATAGCAATATGTGCGCACGACATATACATACATATCGTGTGTGCACAACATAGTATTGTGTGTGCACGACATATACACACACACACACATCGTGTGTGCATAACATAGCAATATGTGCGCACGACATATACATACATATCGTGTGTGCACAACATAGACATACATATCATGTGTGCATGGCATAGACATACATATCGTGTGTGCACGACATATACACACACACACACACATCATGTGTGCATAACATAGCAATATGTGTGCACGACATATACATACATATCGTGTGTGCACGACATATACACACACACACACACATTGTGTGTGCATAACATAGCAATATGTGCGCACGACATATACATACATATCGTGTGTGCACAACATAGTATTGTGTGCGCACGACTTAGTATTACATGTAAGTCTTGATTTGCACATCAATTTAATGATTACAGTGGTGTAAACTTGAGTTTTGATATTATTGGGCTGTTTTTGACTGGACATTAGGCCAGTTTTTTTATAAACATCTGGCAACCTTAACCTGTGTATAGACCTGCTATCAGGGTTCATGTATGTTATGTTTGAAGCAGCACTGTGCACATTTCAAACCACTTTTAACCGTATTGTAATGACATCAACAGGGCTTTTGTTTACCTGAGTCAGAATAACTACGCAGACGCGCACACGTGTTTCTCCAGTGTCCTACGCCTCGATCCCAAGAACCCAGTGGTAAACGCTCAACCCTTTATTCTTGTACACACGATCATAAGCACCACCAGAGAAGCATTAGTACTAACAATATTTTTTTTTCAGGCAAACAACAACGCAGCCGTGTGTCTCCTGTACTTGGGAAGGCTAAAGGAGTCCCTGGGCCAGCTGGAGAGCCTGGTGCACAAGGACCCGGCACTGTACCTGCACGAAAGCGTACTCTTCAACCTCACCACCATGTACGAGCTGGAGTCGTCACGCAGCACACAGAAAAAACAGGCGCTACTGGAGGCCGCCGCATGCAGAGAAGGAGACAGCTTTAACATCCAGTGCCTCAAGCTAGTATGAGACGCACACCACCCACACACAATCCAACACACACTGCAAAAAACACTCGTCTCTTTCTAGTCCAAATATTCAAACATTCTGAAGTCAAGAAGCGTTTTTTTTAGACAACTATCAAATATTGTTTTGTTTTTATGAATATGAAGTCAAAATGAAGTGAGTTTTTGCTTAAAACATGTAAAATAATCTTGTTTTTGGTTTGAAATAACACCGTTTACCTCATTGGCAGATTATTTCACTTGATTTTTGAAGGTCAAACTCACTTAAAGGGATAGTTCAGCCCTACATTTTTTATTTACTCACCATCTACTCACTCTCAAGTGGTTTCTTTCTTCTGTTAAACACAAAAGGAGAAATTTTAAAGAAAGTTGAAATCCTGTAACCATTGACTTCCATTGTAGGAAAAACAAATACTATGGAAGTCAATGGTTACAGGTTTTTCTTTTCTTTCTTCAAAGTATCTTCTTTTGTGTTCAAAAGAAGAAAGAAACTCATGAGGGTAAGAGGTGAGTGAACCATGAAAGAATTTTCTTTTTTTGGGTGAACTATCCCTTTAATTTCGACGACTTATTTCTGAAAACAATTATTTTTATTCCTCTAGGAAATGCTTCTTGATTTGAGGATTTTTAAATATTTGGATTAGAAACAAGACGAAAACTCTAAGTAAAACAGATTGTTTTGCAGTGGACTGGATATTAAAGGGATAGTTCACCCAAAAATTAAGCTTTACTCACTATTTACCCTCCCTCAGTCTTTATGAGTTTCTTAAAGTCAAACGAAGATAGTTTGAAGAATGTAGAAACCTGTAACCATTGATTTATGTACTAATAAATACTATGGAAGTGATTGGTTACAGGTTTCCAACATTTTTCAAAATATGTTCTGTTAAACACAAAAGAAAACAGTTTGAAGAATGTATAAACATGTAACCATTGACTTCTTTAGTCAAAAAGAGAGCTATGGAAGTCAATGGTTACAGATTTCCAACATTTTTCAAGATATCTTGTTTTGTGTTAATCAAAATAATACTAAAGTGTTAGTAAATGATGACAGAATTTTCATTTTTGGGTAAAATACCCTTTAATTAATAATCAGGCGGCAGGTTTGAGAGAATATTCTGAGGCCAGAATTGAATATATTGTCCCGCATTTAAAGCTTTTACGTGTTCATGTTTGTCAGTCGTCATGTGTGTGTGTACAGTCAGGACCAAAGTTACCTTGATAACTCGATGATATTTCCTCTGAGCAGGCCAGAAGAAGGGTTACACACCTTTACTCGTGTTTCAGAAATCAAGAAATTAAACGCATGTAATGATTGTTTTCAGAGAGTTTAAGCTGATGTTATGTGCATTTCTTAATATGACAAAAAGGAAATCTTGTTAATAAATGTTTGAAGACCTGTTATGATCTTAAGATCTGCTTTTCAAATCCCACCTACAGATTGCTTGTGGTGCCTTTTCTGCCTTACATGGGTTTAAAAAGTTCACGCTGCAAAAATATGGAGCGTTTTTTGTTTTTTTATGTCATGATATCAGTGAGTGTTTTTAAAATGAATCATTTCAGTCAACGACTCAATGATTGATTCATAAAGTCAGTTACTTGATTCACTTCTAATCATTTGTTTTGAATGAATTGAATGATTGATTTGATTAACACAGGAACTACTCAATTACTCACCTAAGCAAATAATGTCAGAAAATATCTCAATATACTACACTACCTGACAAAAGTCTTGTCTATCCAAGTTTTAGGAACAACAAATAATAGCTTGACTTCTAGTTGATCATTTAGTATCAGAAGTGGCTTAAATGAAAGGCAAATGCCTCTAGATGACGCTTATTTGAGCACAATAAAATCTGATCATGCCTTGATTATTAATGATTTGATTAGGACAGTAAGATCTGACTCTGCTCAGACTAAAGTCTCATCACTGAACGGAAATAATGTCCAGTATAGAATATAAAGTCCTGCTGCAGTGGAGACAGAATGAATATTGTGTCTGACTCCATCATGAGCTTGGAGGACTGCATCCATACATCTCTGACATGACTCAAACCACTGATTAATAAAGTCATCTGGAATGCCAAAGAAAGCCTTTAGCAGGACTCCCAGAGCTCATCAAGACTCTTTGTGTTCACTTTTAACGCCTCCTCCTTCATCAGCTCAATAATGTTCATGTCTGGTGACTGGGCTGGCCAATCCTGGAGCAGCTTGAGCTTCTTTGCTTTCAGGAGCTTTGATGTGGAGGCTGAAGTATGAGGAGTGCTATCCTGCTGGAGAATTGTCCCTCTCCTGTGGTTTGTAATGTAATGGGCAGCACAAATGTCTTGATCTCTCAGGCTGTTGATGTTGATCATCCACTCTGCAGATCTCTCGCACGCCCCCATACTGAATGTAACCCCAAACCATGATTTCTCCATCACCAAACTTGACTGATTTCTGTCAGCATCTTGAGTCCATGAGGGTACCAGTAGGTCTTCTGCAGTATCTGTGATGATTGGGATGCAGTTCAACATATACACATATATATATATATATATATATATATATATATATATATATATATATATATATATATATATATATATATATATATATATATATATATATATAAATAAAGTAACATATCCCCACCCCAATCCTGTTGCCCATTTAAAATTAGAAGGCATTTCATACCATTGTAATGGGATCTGGATCATAATATACTACACAATCAGTTATTTCTGCAGTATAATTAATACAAGAACCTGCAAATCAGCCATTTAAGTTATTTACCTCTGCTAACATGGTTTTTCCAGTAATACTTTGTTTTTTCCTTGTTAAGCCTTTTATTTCTGTTGTAAATCAGTGTAAACATGAAAGCGGAGCCAGCTTTTAATACAACGTGATCCATTTTAATGCTACAAAGTATGACTGAACCTTTGTGAACAGTAGTGTATAACACTATATATTTCATAATATTCCTGAGCCATTGTTTGGACACTGATAATTAAAAGAAATGTTTCTTGATCGAATCTGGAGATTGTGTGACACTGAAAGCTTGAGAAATTCTGCTGACAGCTCACCTTTATGAAGAAACCTTATGATCTGTGGTGCAATAAGGTATTAGTGTTATATTTATACGAATAAAGGATGCAAATCTGTGGAAAGCCTGACAGTAGAGCAATCTTGAAGTGTTTCCAGATCCAGCAAACGCATAACGTTTTCCCAATGTTAGTTTACGGTTCGTTTTTTATAATAAAACAAAATCATTTTAGGCGATTGTTAGTCATAGTGTTTGTTTTTTGCAACCATAACAATGTCTCCTGAGATTTATTTTATAGTTGCAAATAATCTTCCTACATGGTTATATTTAGGTTATTTTATTGCAGAGTGGTTATTAGAATAATGGAAAAATATCATTGAGAGAACGTTCTTCCAACACTAGAATAACCTTATATTTCCATTAAGACTTTCCAAAAACAAAACCAACCCATGGCAACCAAGAGCTGTGTCGAACTCTACAAACCATCATCATAATGATCATCACACTCTTTAATAATCTAAATATCAGGTGTGTCTTGATGACTAAGTAATGACATGTTAGCTCTACTATTGCTGCTTGTCTGTTTAAGGCACCGCAGAGTCTGATTCTCAGCACTAAATCAATCCCATCAGGCATTTCAGGAGCTTCCCAGCGAGTTCACGTATTCCTTGCGGATGTCAAAGTCATCGGCTGGACGGTTGTAGGCCTTCCAGACGGGTTCACCCACGAACAGACGCATGGCTTTAGTGTAGTTCTGAGGAGATAAAGGCATCGGTAATCACTTAAAGGCACAGCAAGTCATTTTCACCACTAGAGGGCGTGTATTCACAACAAACAAAGGCGTGTGTGGTGGTATGAAGCATAGTAAGACTGAACGATGGGAAGGAAACAATAAAGAAGATTGCTGATGATAGACGAGAGTGATGTGGCACAAAAGCAGCGGAGCTTTGATTACACCACAGTCCATCATTTCTGGTTCTTCTGCCCATGATCTACTGATACCTGCTTTCAAAACACTGCTTCATGAAGCTTCCAAACCTTTATGAATCATTCGTTTTGAATCAGTGATTGGCAAGGTCACGTGATTTTAGTGAATGGGGCTTTGTTACATCATTACTGCTTCAAAATTTCAGAAATAGTTGTGTTTTCCTGAATGTTGGTCCTCCACTAGAGGGCGATATGTGTAACAAACACTGATTCATTTATGAATCATTTTTTTCGAATCAGTAACTGCCAAGGTCACATGGCATCTGTAAACAGGGTTTTTGCTGTCATCACTGCTTCGAAATGTACCATAAATGATTACATTTTTATAAATGTAAGTGGTTCTCCACTAGAGGGCGATCTGTGTAATAAACACTGCTTCATGATGCTTCGAAACCTTTATGAATCATTGGTTTTGAATCAGTGATTCAGAGCGCAAATCAAATTGCCAAGATCCCATGATATTAGTAAACGGCTTTGTTACGTCATTACTGCTTTCAAACATTTCATAGTTACGTTTTTATAAACATTAATTGTTCTCCATTAGAAGGCGATCTGTGTTATAAACACTGCTTCATGAAGCTTCAAAACCTCTATACATCATTTGTTTCAAATCAGTGATTCAGAGTTTCATTTTAGTTTCATTTACTGGTCTATTAAGTCATCACTGCTTCAAAACGTTTCAGAAATGGTTACGTTTTCATAAATATAAGTGGTTCTCCACTAGAGGGCGATCTGTGTAATAAACACTGCTTCATGATGCTTCGAAACCTTTATGAATCATTTGTTTCGAATCAGTGATTTAGAGTTTCATTTTAGTATCATTTACTGGTCTATTAAGTCGTTACTGCTTTAAAACTTTTTGTAAATGGTTACGTTACATAATAAATGGTTACTTTTTGTAAACGGTAATAGTTTTCCACTGGGGGGCTAATATCATAAAATACCTATGAACTGATGTGAATTAATTCAGATCGCCCCCAAGTGGCAAATCGCTGAACATGTTTGAGTTTTTAACCTGATCTTGGATCAGTTTTATGAGTCTGTATAAATTTTAATGAGACATCTGTAAAATTAAAACCAATTATATTAGTTAACAGTCTCCAATCGACCTACTTAGCAGAGAACGCATATTATGCTGACACTTAATATTTAATGATTAGCGAAGTGCATTTATAGGTTATACTTTTTAATTTAAAGTTCGCAAATGTGTTTGAAAGTCAATTCTAGTGCATGTTTTTGTTGCATTTACAGTTTTGACCAGCAGGTGTCTCTACTAAAACAATCATTTTACAAAGCAAGCGGTTTAAATGTTTTGAAGATTTGAGAAGCTTTGTTTTTTTGAAAGAAGCAGCAGCACTGTATACATATACATTATATATTATTATGCGCATTCGAATAAAACACACAACATATTAACATATTGCTCCTGTTTTCAAGAAAACAAACCAGAAATTTGAGTGTGTGTGACTTTCGTCTCACTACCTAAAATTGACGATTCCTTTGGATTCGAACGTTCTTTAAAAGATTTGAGATAATGCAAGTACACAATTCAGCTAAATAAGTAAAATAAAATAACACTGTTCTAGTGGATTTGGGGTATTTCAATGAAGTATAATCGCATATATTGTGGCGATTTAAGTTTAGTGAATGATGAAGACACGTACGCTTTCGTCCACGGTGAATCTGTGGTAAATCCCGGCCGGTAAAGTGATGAGGTCGCCTTTAGACACCGCTATTCGGATCCAGCGGTCGCCTTCGTCCCGCACATCAAAATAAGAGGATCCTTCCAGAATATAACGGATCTCATCGTCCAGGTGGAGATGCTCTTCGTAAAACATTTTCAGCTGGAAGAGGGGAGATTTACGCATGCATTTCATTATAAAAGTAAAGATTTGGGTGGTAAACATAACTGTTAATGCTGGTGTGAACAGCCTACTTTGTTTTGGTAATCGGGCAGTTTGTCCGGGTGAATGGTTATGATGTCCATAAAGGAATAACCCTTCTCCTCTCGGATCTTCTGCAGTTCGGGGTCATTTTCATAGATATCAGCGTTCAGCTGAGGAAAAGAACCAGGAATTACTGACAAACAGCATTTTAAAATAAGAATTATGTTGATAATTGCATGCATTTTTACAGTTTGACTGTAGTACTAATAATATTTTAAGAAATTTTCATAGAAAACTGACAATTCTGTATTGAGGTAAAGTTGGTATTACATTCGCATATTCAGACATTCTCTTTAATAATATAATTTCAGAAAATTATAAAACCAATTTTACCTCTATCAGAAATAGAGGTAAAGTTGGTTTTATATTCGCACATTCGTTCATTTATAAGTCTATATATCAGGGCTCAACAATAAGGACTGCATGGTGGCCCAGGGCCAGCGTGAGAGACGCTTGGGACAGTAGACAGGATCATTACTGGCCCGATTGGGACAGTGCTGCCTTGTCACTAACATTTCATTTGTCTGCTAACTATCAATTATGTATATTTTAAGTTTGTGCTTTTAAGTCTTTAAACACTCCCTTCTCAATGAAGTCGTAAACACCATATTGCTTTCCGGTTCCGCTTATCTGATTTGATGTTTTGAGCATGCTTTCCCCCCGTAACCTGGGAATAACCAGTACAGAGAAGAAACGGCAACATGGCGGCAACATCAAATTATAAGGCTAAAAGAAAATGCCTGTTTCTAATGTCTTGGAAGCAGAAATTTATGTGTGAACAACGCGAAAAAAAAAATTAAGTGATGTTTTGCACTGCTTGCCCACAGTCCTTTTGTTAAATAATTTCGAACCGCAATAAAATACCTGCACATTTTCCATACTGCTCTTTTTGTTTGCATAACACTTTTATTAATGTTTTTTGAAATTCTAGATTCACAGACTTTATTTTTGACACATTATTTAAAATATGCGGCTGAAAAATAGCTATTAACTTTTTAGTTTTTTTTTTTTTTTTGGTGGGGCCAGTAAAAATGTTGGCAGGGCAAGTAAAAATCTAAACCACTGGCCCGATCAGACCAGTAAAAAAATCCATAGCGTTGAACCCTGTATATATTGTTTACCATGTTACACTGAATATTAGATCGGAAATAGCATGCAAGTATGACTTCTAAACAACATTACCCTGCTGAAAAATCCAGCTTAAACCAGCCTAGGATGGTTGGCTGGTTTTAGCTGGTCGACTAGCCTGTTTTTAGAGGGCATTTTCAGGCTGGTTTCCAGCCATTTCCAGATAGAGGTAAAGTTGGTTTTATATTCGCAAATTCGGTTATTTAGCAGTCTATATATTGTTTACCATGTTACTTTAAATATTCGATCGGAATTAGCATGCAAGTATGACTTGAAAACAACATTAACACTGTTTATTTGACTGGGAACAATGTTATACTTTGATAGTCATTGGCTGCTAATATGATTTAGCTGTTTAGAGCTTGCAAATAATACTTTTCTGAAATTATATTATTAAGGGAAAAGTCAGAATGTGCGAATATAAAACCAACTTTACCTCTGTCATTTCCAGCCTGGTCTTAGCTGGTCAGGCTGGGAGACGACCAGCTTGACCAGCCTAGCCAGGCTGGGAGCCCAGCTTAAACCAGGCTGGTCAAGCTGGTTTTAGCGGGTCATTTTCCAACCTGACCATCTAAGACCAGGCTGGAAATGGCCAAAACCCCTCTAAAACCAGGCTGGTCGACCAGCTAAAACCAGCCTAGGCTGGTTTAAGCTGGATTTTTCAGCAGGGAAACACTATCTAATTCACTGTGAACAATACTTTGAGTCATTTGCTGCTAATAAGATTTCCCTATTTACAATTTTCAAAGAATACTTTTCTGAAATTATATTATTAAGGAGAAAGTCTGGATATCCAAATATAAAACCAACTTTCCCTCTATTGACTTCATCTGCATTTGTTGACAGTAAAACTCTCTGAAGTCTCTCCTCGTGATGCTCGTGTCACGTGGTGCGCCTGCACTACTGTAACCCTAAAGTGTGATCAAACCTTCCAGTGAAAGACTCCGATGTGCTCCAGCTGCTGAACGCTGACGGGCTGATTCGGGCTCAGTTTGTGCGGGAGTCTCTGGTCCTCTCCGGACTCTTCATCCATGTACCACGCCTCGAAAACACTCATCTTGAACAGTCCGGTTCGGTCTCCATGCGCAGTACCAGACACGACTGACGAAGAGGTGCGCACTTCAAAATAAAGGTCTCTCCAACTGTGCCACACAATACAAACTAAATCTCACTGTTCTGTTGTGAGATTTAAATTCGTATTTGTGAGGTCAAAGTCGGAATTCATGTTCAGGTGTTATAAAAATAATGTAATAATAATAATATAACAAATAATAGAATTATTGGTGGCACAGTAGGTAGTGCTGTCGCCTCACAGCCGGAAGGTCACTGGTTTGAGTCCCGGTCAGTGGTTGTTTCTGTGTGGAGTTTGCATGTTCTCCCTGTGTTGGCGTAGGCTTTTCTCTGGGTGCTCCGGTTTCCACTATAGTCCAAACACATGCGCTACGGGGGAATTGAATAAGCTAAATTGGCTGTAGTGTATGCGAGTTTGTGCAAGAGTGTGTATGGGTGTTTCCCAGTACTGGTTTGCAGCTGGAAAGGCATCTGCTGCGTAAAATATATGCTGGAATAGTTGGTGGTTCATTCTGTTGTGGCGACGCCTGTGTGGACTGAGTGGGTTTTTATGGAACATCTTGAAGTAAGACAGTTTGTCATGGATGAAGACCTGCTAACGCACTACAAATCTGAACTATCCAATGTGGGAGACTTTTAATTTGAAAAGCAAACCGTGTTGACCTTTAGCAGCGCGTCTCCGTCAGAGCGAAGCTTCACTCTATCGGGCTTTTGTCAGTGTTGATTCAGACTCCAGGTTTGTCAGATGTTCATCTCTAAATGATGTTATTTTGACTAGTTTGTCTGTCTTAATTTTTAACATCAGTGGTGTATAAACGCAGAGCTGTTTCCTTGTGGCTGTGAAGTTTTTACTCACGTAACCACAGTAGATAACCAAGCGCTGTCAGGTGCGCTAACTAGCCGCAAGCTACATTGTTATGAGTTTAATCGAAGCTAGTTAGGTTAGTAAAGAGTTCAGTACGCGAAAATGACCGACATAATTTAGTGTTTTCCTTATACTAAAGAAAAAAAGCAAAGTGTAACGTTATTTCCGCACAGTCAGATTTGAGGGAACTCTCTTTATCTGTGTGTGTGTGTGTGATTTAGTCAAATGTCTCCATGATTAAACTACACTCTGCTTTACAACATGTTATCTGGAGTATTAACGTTATGTAAATACCGTGTTGTGTCAATAAAATGATCTCACCGTATATTAAAGTGATTACGAATTACCACAGAACAGTATGATTGAGGTAAAGTTGGTTTTATATTCACACATTCGTTCATTTAGGAGTCTCTATATTGTTTACAAAGAGGTAAAATTGGTTTTATATTCGACTATTCAGACATTCTCCTTAATAATATAAATTTAGAAAAGTATTCTTTGCAAATTTTAAATAGGGAAATCATATTAGCAGCAAATGACTATCAAGGTACAGCATTGTTCACAGTTAATTAGATTGTGTTAATGTTGTTTAAGTCATACTTGCATGCTAATTCCCACTGAATATTCAAAGTAGCATGGTAAACAATATAGAGACTGCTAAATGAACGAATGTGCGAATATAAAATCAACTTTACCTCTATATTGTTTACCATGTTACCTTGAATATTAGATCAGAGTTAGCATGCAAGTATGACTTCTAAACAACATTAACACTAATTCACTGTGAACAATGCTGTGCTTTGGTAGTCATTTGCTGCTAATATGATTTCTCTATTTACAATTTGCTAACAATACTTTTCTAAATTTATAATATTAAGGAGGATGTCTGAATATCCCAATATAAAACCAACTTCACCTCTATGACTAAGACTGGGATATAACATAATCTTCAAATGGTTTACTGTAAAAATGTACATTAGCCTAATCTCGACCTAGCCAGAGATAACAAGTTTATTACTTATGGGAAGGGACATTGTTTTGTTGTTACTGATGATTATTTGTGGTCTCAATCCTGACAGATCTAGAGTTCCCGCTGTTTCTATGATCCCGGGGTCACATCACAGTTCCGATGGCTGATTTAGTGCAGAATGCTGCCAATAATGTGGTAAGTTTGCTTATTCCGACCAGGGTTATTGTAGTTCACGAAACCATAAACGTGTAATTGTTGCTTGGAAGGGAACAAACATTACCTGGAATAGTTTCCGGCCATAAAATGTGTTTGTGTACCTGTTTTTGTGACATATCAGGACACAAATCTGTATAATGACATGGGTATAACACAGGTATTACAAAAAGGAGGTGAAATATTAGGACATTGGTGTCATCCTCATTTCTCAAAAAGCTTATAAATTCCACTGGATGAGTTTAATCAGAGTAAAGCTGCACACAGTCTCCTGTGATGGTTGGGTTTAGGGGTGAGGGCAATACAATATACGGTTTGGATAGTATAAAATGAATGGAAACCTATGTAATGCCCCCACTTTTCACAAAAACAAGCGTGTGTGTGTGTGTGTAATGAACATATTCCACAGTTTAGACTTTCGATTTTAAGACATTTGAGTTGTGTTTGGGGGAAATCGTTACCTGAGAATTTCACAATTACAATATGTTAAGACTTTACAACTTATATTGAGAGGGCGAAGCAGTGGCGCAGTAGGTAGTGCTGTCGCCTCACTGCTAGAAGGTCGCTGGTTTGAGCCTCGGCTCAGTTGGTGTTTCTGTGTGGAGTTTGCATGTTCTCCCTGCGTTCGCGTGGGTTTCCTCCGGGTGCTCCGGTTTCCCCCACAGACATGTGGTACAGGTGAATTGAGTAGGCTAAATTGTCCGTAGTGTATGAGTGTGTGTGTGTGTGAATGTGTGTGTGTGGATGATTCCCAGAGATAGGTTGCGGCTGGAAGGGCATCCGCTGCTTAAAACTTGCTAGATAAGTTGGCGGTTCATTCCACTGTGGTGACCCCGGATTAATAAAGGGACTACGCCGACAAGAAAATTAAAAATGAACTTATATTGAGATATAAACTCGCAATTCTTAGTTGTAACAAGTCAGAAATACAGAATGTTGATGCTCAGAATTAGGACATTTAAAATTAGATTTAATCTAGCAAAATTTCAGTAGATTAAACAGCAATAGTTAAATATTGTAAAGATTTTCAAATAGCATTAAATGTTCCATGAAATTAAAGTTTTTTAAATTTGTCTTCTGGAGAAAGTCTTATTCGTTTTTTGTTTTTTTTTTCGGCTAGAATAAAAGCATTTTTTAATATTTTAAACTACATTTTAAGGTCTAAATTATTAGCCCCTTTAAGCAATATTTTTTTTCCGATAGTCTACATAACAAAACATTATTAAACAATAACTTGCCTAATTATTTTAACCTACCTAGTTAACCCAATGGCTCGTTTCCACTGACTGCTACAGTACGGTACGGTTCAGGTCGGTACAGGTCACCTTTATCAGGCTTGCGTTTCCACTACCAAGGGTAGCCTTTTGGTGGATGTGGTGTATGACAAAGTTTAAATCGATGTCATACTCGCTCGAATAAATGTCTACAGTAAAGCTGTACGGGTCGCTCACATATCATAATGAGCAGCACTTCTCACAAAACAGACGCTTTACACACGCAAATACTTGTTTATAAATGTTTATTCAAACTTTTCTATGAACATGATCTGATTATAACTGCAGATCAATGACAGTGCAAAATAGGCTACTGTAACGTCTGTAATTATATAAAATAAATATATAAATCCAACATATATGAACACATACAGCCCCTTACAATCTCCGATATAATATTAATTACAGAAAAACTACACACAGCAGACATTTAGTACTTATTTGAGTTCAAAAACACCAGCAATATAGCCCACAGTCTGCGCAAACCTCTCATCTGTGTCTGTAATCTTCACCAGCACATGTAAGCTCTGTTAGAGAGTCATTTTGACATTCCCAGTTCATAATAATCCAAAAGACGAAGATAAACATGGCAGTTTGTTCATGATTCAGGTCGCTAAAACAATTTTGCTCCTGTGTTTTGACAGCTTCTCTTTTTTTCCGCGCTTCACTCTCGCGCTTGTCCTTTTCTTTCTGTATGGATCAGATGACGGAGACACCAATAATCACACACACGTTATTATCATCAGCTCAAGAAGTTCGTTGTATCAAATATAGTCGCGATCGCAAGCTCCCGGAAGTAAGCAAATACTGCTTGCACTTTTAGACGGGCTCTTAAAGCAACAACAGGACACGGCAGATTTTGCTCTTTTTGGCTTTGTGTCTGTTCATCAAGACGCCGACAAGGTTTGTTTGAGCTGGGGTCATCCATGGCTTGGTATTATATGCATATATTATATTTTAGGGGTGTCAAAAATAATCGTTTTTTCTGTGCACTGCGATAGAGACGCGGACAATTCGGTTTCTGTTCAGTAATAATCATAACCGTTTATTACTGACGTCATTTACCTCATATGCGCTCTGTCGCGACAGAGGCGATCGCGAGTATTTACAGCGCTTTAACTACTTAAAACTCATAAACTGTGCACAATTTCACTGTGTGTGTTTGCTGGATCAGTCTTTCACTGACATATACAACAATAGCCCCTATTTCATTGAGATCCAGAGAATGAAAGTAGCCTACTCCATTTCTCTCTCTCTCTCTCTCACTCTGTCTCTCTCTCTCTCTCTCTTTCTCACACACACACAGTGGCCCATTTGACCTCCTGGCGTGGCTTTTCTTCTCTTCTCGGCTGTTTTACAGCGTTACTTTTGCATCCAGAAACGAGCGCGTGTCTGCAGAGTTTTCTCCACCGTGTCTATCATACATCAGCTGTGAGATCGCCGCTGCCACCTGCCGCTTATCAGTATCACTCATCTATGAAGAGCGCAGCGCACAAGAGCCAATCGCAACCGTTTTTTGTTGAGGGTGTGACCAATCAAAGGGGTGTGAGAGAACTAGACAAGGATCAGAAATTGAGCTGGATGTTTATATTTGTTTATATTATTTGCTAAATGCTTGTTTTGTTTAAAGTTACAGTTTATAAATCTGACTGTTTGTATTAAATGACAAAATTGTATTACAAATAGTATATAAATATAAATATATTCATACATTTTAATACAAGAACTGCTGCTGTGAAGAAAATATAAAACTGTATATGGAAAGCACCGTCAATGCACCGTGATGCACCGAAATATCGAGTTGAACCAAATCGATGGCATGATAATCGTAACCGAACCATGAGACTAGTGTAGGTTCACACCTCTACTATATTTATGTAATCTCTCGGCTGTGTATTAGAACATGGCGGTTCCTTTGTTTACATTCTGACAAGCTCCACAAGCTCATGACGTATCTCTGTAACCAATCAGCGTTCGGCTACGCGTGTAGCTCCACCTTTTGGTACCCTTTCTCGTTTTTGGTACCCTTTCAAAAGGGTGCCGAAAAAGTGGTACGGTATGGTTTGGTACGCTTATTGACAGTGGAAACGGCCATAAAAGCATACCAAACCAAACCGTACAGTACCACTCAGTGGAAACGGGCCATAGTTAACCTAGTGAAGCCTTTAAATGTCACTTTAAGCTGTATAGAAGTGTCTTGAAAGATATAGTCAAATATTATTTATTGTCATCACAGCAAAGAGAAAATAAATCAGTTATTAAAAATGAGTTATTAAAACTATTATGATTAGAAATGTGTTGGAAAAAAGTTGGGAAAATTAGGGAAAAATATACAGGACGGCTAATAATTATGACTTCAATGTTTATATAGCAGAAAAGCCAAAAATTTTAATATAATTTTGTAACCCAACTTGGTGAGCAAATTACATTTCCTAAAACACACACACACACACACACACACACACACACACACACACACACACAACTTGCTGTAACAGGTCTGTCATTTCTCTGCATACAGCTAAATGATGGGATGGACACCAGCCGGCACACAAGCAGCACCGCGGCGCCGCCCAGCCGTAATGAGGTGGAGCTGAACGGGCAGCCGCCCACCGCTCCGCCCCCGCAGGTGGTCACAGACAGTGAGGAAGACGAGGACGAGGAGCTCACTCTCAAATATGGGGCGAAGCACGTCATCATGCTGTTCATTCCCGTCACGCTCTGCATGGTGGTGGTGGTGGCGACCATCAAATCTGTCAGCTTCTACACACAGAAGGACGGACAGCAGCTGTGAGGAGCTCCCTAAAAACACTTTTACCTCACACTCCATACAACCCCAAATCAGAAAAGGTTGTGACAGTATAAAAAACGCAAATGACAAAAGAAAGTTGTGATTTTTAAATGTACTTCGAGTTACAGAAAAATTAAGTTTTGTCTGGTCAAATTAATTTAATTTGTAAATATAGATCCTTTCCTGTCATTCAGACCTGCGACACACTCCAGACAAAGTTGTGACAGAGAGTAGGAGCAGTTTAGGGATGGTAATCGGGTAAACTGGTGAAATAAAGATGTGATGTGAAACAGGTGATTGTGATTATGATTTGGTACACTGTACATAGCAGCTCCAAGAAAGGTCTAGTCCTTTTGGAGCAAATTTGGGCTGAGTATCGGCAGCCAAATACATGAGAAAATGATTGAAATGATGAAAAACAATGTTCCTCAAAGAAAGAGGAAGACATTTGGATATTTCACCTTCAACAGTGCAGAACATCATTAAAACATTCAAGGAATCTCAAAGAATTTAAGTGCGTATAGGACAAGGGTGCAAGCCTAAGCTGAAGAACCGTGATCTCCAATCCCTCAGGCGCTGCATACTGTCCCAACTTTTTCTGATATGGGGTTATATTAGGTGGCCTTAACTATTATGTACTTGCTACAAAAAATAAATGCCATATAATTACTTTATTTTATTATATTTTTTTAACTTATTTTTTTCTTTTGAGAATTGTTCATATAATTATTAAATGTTTTGTGTTATTGACAAATTTTATTGTACATATTTTGTCCTTTTGAGTGTTATTCTTTTAAATGACTAACTGTTTGTTTGTTTCTTATGTTGCTCTAGTACTGGCGATAGCCACACAATGCATTGTATAGGTCAAAATTACTACTACTATTCAATATTATTCGAAAATTAAGAAAAGATCATGTTCCATGAAGACATTTAGTAATTTACCTACCTTAAATATATCACAACTCAATGTCTGATTAGTAATATGCATTGCTAAGAATTTAATTTGGACAACTTTGAACACAATTTACACAGTTTGTATTTCTATTGATTTATTTTTTAACCTTTTTTTTTTGGATTCCAGGTTTTAAATAGTTTCAAATATTGTCCTATCAAGGCATAACAGCAATGGAAAGCTTATTTATTTAACGTGCAAATAATCCGTACACCTCCAAAATCAAACAAAAAGTGCTTAAATAATGTGTTGGTGCTCTCTGAGTAAGGGATTCATCAGAATAAACAGCCAAATTCAATTCAAGGCACTCAAGAAGTGTGGAAAAAATATTAAATAAACTATATTTTCATATTTCTTCCACACTTCTCGAGTGCCTTGGCCTGATTTTTGCTGTTTAACCCACACTCCTTATTTTCCAAAAAACAGTTACGCTTATGTCTGGTTTTGTGGTCCAAAGTCAAACATAGAGCTTCTTAATATAAGGATATGGCAGTGTCCAGGTTTATAAGTAATGTTGATATCTTTATATTCTTCTTTTCTGCAGGATCTACACCCCGTTTCGTGAGGACACGGAGACGGTGGGTCAGCGAGCTCTGCACTCCATGCTCAACGCCATCATCATGATCAGTGTGATCGTGGTCATGACCCTGGTGCTGGTGGTGCTCTACAAGTACAGATGCTACAAGGTTTGCTCACATGATGCTGAATACTCATCAGCTATTCTTTTTGCACGCATTACAGATTTGTTTTTTTTTTTTGCAGGTGATTCAAGCCTGGCTGTTCTTCTCCAACCTCCTCCTGCTCTTCTTTTTCTCCTTAATTTATTTGGGGTGAGTTTCGCTTGTTAGATTAGTGTTTGTGCTGCGTTTGGAGTGTAAACACAACCTCAAATCATTTTAAGTCTGCCACACACACAGGTGAGTGGGTTTGACAAACCACCTGTAGAAACACTTTTCACTCTGTAAAACGTCTTCTCTGACCACAAACAGTTCCTCTGTGTAATTAGCAGTTGTGTGTATTGCATCTTCTTGTTGAATCGCTGAAATCCTCTTCAATATTATTGGACAAAAGCGTCTGATGCATGGCTAAATGTAAATAATAGTGAATAAAATGAAAGTCAAAAGATAGTGACCATTGTTACAGATGTTGACAGATTGTCGTACAGATGATCTGTACAGAGGTCTTTAAAAAGCCTTAAAATGTCTTTAATTTCAAAAACAAATTTTTAGGCCTTAAAACGTCTTAAATTCACTGAAATGTTGTGGTATGTGTCTTAAATAATTTTTTAACAGGTCTTAATTTTCCTCTGTCCAAGTAAAGCTACACAATCAGGCCGACATCCATCCAATTACCAACAATCCGTCTTAATAAAACCTTTTTTTTAATATATATATTTAAGTTAAAAATTTTTATTGCAAAGAGATACAATTTACAGTAGCTGTTAGAATTTCTTTTTCAATTATTTTTTAATTAACAAATTCCAAATTAATTCCCCAATTCACAGGGAAAGAAAACTAAAAACTATTACACGGTTTCTCATAATAAGAACAGAGATGTATATCCCTTTACGTTATCTTTCATTCTTACAAAAACTCTTTACAGAAGTAAAGGGGAGTAGACATAACATTTCTAAATAGGCATGAAACTTAAGGATTTATTACAGAAAGCAAAGGTTGAATAGGAGTTATAGTCAATTTTTGATAATTTAAGTAATTTTCTCCACAATAAATATGCTTTTAATATAATTTATAATTGAATATAATTTATAATTTAATATAATAACCTTTTATTTTTTGTCAAAAAGAAATATTATGTTAAAACAAAGCATATACAACTAGAGTTTTCTTGTTTTTACACATTCGTTGCTAAGAAATAATTACATTTAGTGGCAAGCAAAAAAAAATAAAAATCCGTCGGCTCAACCTGGCCATTAGAAAGAACCATTAGTCAGGGTGTCCACGGGATCTTAAAAAGTATTAAAGGGTATTAAAAGGTCTTAATCAAATTTGTTTAATTAGGTCTTAAATTTTGTTCAAGCATTGTCTAAAGTGTTTGACTCCGAAAAAGCATTAATATCTTCCTCGATCCACGCGATTGGTCGGGCTTGGGTGCGTCTGGGCAAGCTCTTCCATCTGGGTGATGTCACGTGATTTGCGACAACCGTGGGAAGGTGATGTGACGCTCTCCACATGTAGCGAAACAGACGGCAAAATGTACGTTTGTGTACTCCTGGTTGGAGAAAGACGAGTTTAAACAGTGGCTGAAGCCTGTCGCTGAAAACAGCCACATAATTTATTCTTCCAAGCTTATCAGAGTTCTGTTGCATGGTCGTGCTCCATTGATTGATTTAACTACAACTGCTTATTAGGCTAAAGTTTTGATACTGATTAGAACTTGAAATGGCGATGAGGTCTTAAAATATTATGAGATGGTCTTTAAAAAGTCTTAAAAAGCTATTGAAATAACCTTTAGGATTCCTGCATATACCCTGTCTGTAGTATTATTTAATGAATATATTTGTTGGTATGTGAATTTAGAATTTTCTATTTTTAAAAAAACTAATAATAGGGAGGAATCAAATGTTTGGCAAACAAAAAAGGCATGTAATGTTGTGTAAAAGCGTAAAAATGAGGATTTCATGGTTTTGGTCAGTTTTTATCAAGCAAAATTGCCTCATATAACACACCAACAGGAAGTTTCTATGTACTAAGCTTGTTTTTGCAATTTCTGCTATTTCTTTCGCATTAGAAACTACTGCCATGTGTTTCTTTACTAAACTGCTCTCGTAATAATAGATCTGTAAGACTATACATTATTAAAAAAAGCACACAATACTGTCTGTTTCTTTTGCATAGACCTGAATAATGAATACACTTTTACAGTGCTGTAAAATACAAGCCTACACACAACCTTTTTTTTTTTGCTATTTTGCTGAAAACTAAAAATTTTTAGGGCAAGTTTGACATTTGCATGGAATTGCTCAGTATTAACGTGATTTCCTGCCTCTTAACGATGTTTCTGTTCCCTCCAGGGAAGTGTTCAAGACGTATAACGTGGCGATGGATTACTTCACGCTGGCGTTGATCATCTGGAACTTCGGTGTGGTGGGAATGATCTGCATCCACTGGAAGGGGCCGCTGCGGCTCCAGCAGGCCTATCTGATCATGATCAGCGCTCTCATGGCTCTGGTCTTCATCAAGTATCTCCCCGAGTGGACCGCATGGCTCATCCTCGCTGCTATTTCAGTCTACGGTCAGTCAGTCTGCAAACAGAGCAACACATTCACTTCTGTGTACTGATAGGTTTATTGTTCTGTAATGCTGCTTTGGAACAATAATTAGCCTGAAATGAATTGAATAATTTCAAAAACACAGCCCCTTAAATGTCTTTCCTGCTCCTGTGTAGATCTTCTGGCAGTGTTGTGTCCGAAAGGCCCTCTGCGAATCCTTGTGGAAACAGCTCAAGAGAGGAATGAGGCCATTTTCCCAGCGCTCATCTACTCCTGTAAGAAAAACCCCTCAGCACTTCCATCTTCTCAGACTGTGAATGTCCATCTGTTTAATTGTGTTATCGTCACGTTTCTATGAAATTTCTCCTTCGATTTGTCAGCTACGATGGTGTGGCTCTTCAATATGGCGGACAGTGCTGAAACCAGGAATAATTCCAGTCATCCAGTCCCTCAGCAGGAGAACCAGGGTGAGTGCTGTTGCTGAATTACACGTCTGCGTCAGCTGCCCTGCATGTAGCCGTGCGTTCATTCTTCTGCGTTCTGTTAGTGTTGCTCTGACAATAACACTTCCCAAATGGGTTTCTATTTATTTGTTTATTTGGCAGGGACAGTGTACATTATTTAGCATTTGTGCCAATGCACCAGAATTAGCCCGAAGGCTATTTTTCATCTGTCGTTCCGCTGTGTCGAGTTGTTTCCTGGGTGTTTTGTTTACACTGGATTGCTAACTTTCTGTACACGTAGCTTAACCAGACGTGCAACAACTTTAGTCATAGAGTAAAAAAACAAAAGTATCCGTCTCTAACTCCTCCATGGAGGCAGAGATGCACCAAACTGACGGTCGGTCATTGGGCTTCGTCAGTTCGACTAGTTGGTTTGGTGTTTTCCACATGCCACCTTTCATCAGGCTAACATCGAAGCTCATTGACCTGATTCAGCTTGTAGAATCGCTTTTGGGTGCGCTTCCCAAACAACGACGTAACTCGTGGCTGAACTATTATAGTACGATGCATCGGTTGGGAAAAGAACGATGTAGTGACCAGTGTTTCTCAAAACCGGTAGTTTCTCTGTCGCAGATCCTTCGCTTGAACCACGTTAGTTATAACGTAAAACACCCATTATGATGCTCTAAACCACAGGTGTCAAACTCAGTTCCAAAAGGGCCGCAGCTCTGCACAGTTTAGTTCCAACCCTAATTAAACACACCTGATCAAACTAATTGAGTCCTTCAGGCTTGTTTGAAACCTACAGGTAAGTGTGTTGGAGCAGGGTTGGAACTAAACTGTGCAGGGCTTCGGCCCTCCAGGAATTGAGTTTGACACCTTTGCTCTAAACGGAGTGGAGTAACAACTTCTTTAGAGAAGAACCCTATCATTTCTTTGTGCAAATTATATTGTTGTACACGCACACGCATTTAAAATAAAATCCAATATTAGATTTGGTAAAAACATGCACTCGCTTTCCATATTAATTGAAATATATGTAAATGGCACATATAGGGTCTGTGTTTCCTTTACTAATAATATTGAGAAGTTGAACATTGCATATTCTAGTCTAAAACATAAAACCACTTACAAAAGCTAACACTATTCTAATATCATATATATAATCATATAAATAAATAAATAACGAGGGGATTTATTATAAATATATACACTTTAATAATAATATTAATAACGATGATGATGATTATTATTATTATTATTATTAGGTAGGATATTGTTTATTTATTTGAAAATTCTTTGAAAAAGTCTACTTTTAAAGTTTGACACATGCAAAACACTGCAGACAGTTCTAACCAGCAGGCTCATGTCATATACAGTACAGATACTTAATAAATAACCCACTATAAATTAAAAGCATTAACGTTTTTTTGTTTTTACAAGCTTTGGAGACATAACATAAATTATTTTAAATTATAGGTCACCTATAGCTTTCGCCATGAGGCTGTGTTCAAAATAATGTCAGTAATTTCAAAGTGCACTGCGAAGGGAACACAATTGTAAACATGAAGATCGCTAAAACTGAACTGTAAAAATACTTTGAAAGCAGATGACTCCAAACAGAGGTGAGCTTAATGCTTTTTTATTTTTTTAATCATTCCAAGTTTAAATGTTGGAATGTCATAAATGAATAGGGCATAGGGGGGATAAGAGGGAATAGAACACAGCCAGTTTCTAACTACAGCTCCAGAGGTGTAGATGCAAGTGCACAAGTTTGTGACGCAGTTTGAAAATGTTCGTTCGAAAGATGGATTTAGGAAATGGCAAATCAACAAACTATGTTTGTAACGACTGAATGCGCATCCTTAGTTGGCTAATGGGAGTTTTGGGAAACACCCCTGGTTGGCAATTCAGCAACGAATCAGAGCGCAAGTGTGTTGTAGCTAGTAAACAATTCAAGCCTAGAAGGTTCACAAAGAGTCCGACTGTAATTTTGCTACATTTCTCAAATATTTGCAAAGGATATAAATTATCAGACATATATTTGCAGGAGCTATTCCCTGCGGGATGAGTGACAATTACTGTGATAATGGTACCAAATGGTACATTTAGTATATTTTATCTTACATCTTATATTTTTAGTATTATGTCTATTGTTGGTTTTTATGTGACTTATTACATTTAGTATACTTTATCTTGCCTCTTATATTTTAGTATTATGTGTATTGTTTGTTTTCTCTCTTTTTATGTTGCTGCTGGTCTCTGTGAGTTACCAAACAAATTTCGCTGTACAACTACAATGACAATAAAAGTTCTTTACTTTTTACTTTTACTTTACCAAATGCTGCTTTGTTTACAATTTGTTCAGTATCCCTTTGCAGAATGAGAAAACTGCCCCTCGCAGAGTGGAAAGACACGTCCTCTTGTGCAGGCGCAGAACGGCTCTCAATTCAGTTGGCTTTGATAGCTTTTCGAAGACACAATCCAACAACACAGTTGGGTTTTTTTTTACGCTTAAATTTTGACGTCAGCTTGGTCTGCCCCAGCCTAAAGCACTCGCTCCGCTGGCCGCACTTCAATACTAATGCTTTCAGCTCCGCCCACACTCATCACCAATATCAATCCAACCAATCACAGCTCTTGCACTACATGTCACCGCAATGTGTAGTTACATTTTTTTGAGAGGTAAGGCTTGACGCAGATGTATAAACCAGCTTTAAGAAACCACACGTGCTCATGTCTACTAGTGATGGAAGAAACCAAGCATTCAATAACTTTGAGACAATTGATCTGATTGCTTCACAAAATGCGCATGCTAAGGACTCCAGATGGCCAAAACAGTTTAAATGCAACCAAAACTCTGACAAAACATTAGATTTGACTTTTTTATAAACTTTAAATTGACATATAACCTATAAATGCACTTCACTTATTAGCTACTATTATTAAATATTAAGCATAATATAAACAGACTCTCTCTCTGTCTCCAGTAGTTGCGATGGCTCCCACAGCTCAGCCGGAGGACGATGGCGGCTTCACTCCGGCGTGGGTGGATCATCAGCAGCATCAGCTCGGACCCATGCAGTCCACGGAGGAGAGCAGACGACAGATCCAGGAGATGCCCAGCGCTCGGCCACCACCACCAGCAGATGATGACGAAGAGCGTGAGTGTCTGCACTCCAAACACTGACTACATTTACATGGACATTAGTGATGGGTCGTTCATGAACGATTCGTTCATTTTGAACGAATCTTCAATATGACTCGGGAACTACGAGTCCTTTCAGGGAGTGATTCCTTCATCCGCGTATGCGCACATTTGTGCAGGTAGTATCGTTTATTTCAAGTCTTCATCACATTGGCAGAAGCCAATCATACGCGTTTAGAGCCGGAAAAAGAATTGAACCGCTCACCTCTCGAGTCCTCTATCAGGTCTGAGTCATTCGTTCCTCACGGGCCAATCATACGCGTTTAGAGCCGGAAAAAGAATTGAACCGTTCATCTCTCGACTCCTCGGGTTTGAGTCATTCTGTCACGTAAACAACGAACGATCATGGCTCCTATCGGCTCAGACTGTGCATTGATTAAGATTATATGTGACTGTCAGTGTAAAGTGAATGAACTCCTGACATTTGAACACATGAAGAGGTGAGCTGAGCAAAGACACAACAACACCTTCATAGACAAAAGAGCAGGTAAACATTCAATTATTATTTTCTCCTTCTTATAGTATTGTATTTATGACTTATTTGTCGTGCAATCAATCTTTTGGGCTAGTTATAGATGTGTTTGGAAGCAATCCGTAACATTTTAATAATATTTTGGCAAATTGAACCAAATGATTGAAATGACTCGAAAAAAGATTCGTTCATCTCGATGAACGAGACTCAAAGATCCGAGTCAGTTAAATGATCCGAACTTCCCATCACTAATGGACATCCGGCTACTTTACACATCAACTAAAATATTAAAAAATCATAGTGGACCACCACTTAAATGTCGTATTAATTGCATGTGAAGTGTCTACTGTAATGTTTTATTGAGTGTACATATGACGGGACGTGAAAATAAAATGTCGAAATATGGCTGTACTAATATTCCAATGGTAAAACAATACCCGTATTATGACTGACTTATTGAAAAGGTGTGATGACAGAATAAGTGAATGTGTGTGTGTGTTTTCAGGGGGTGTGAAGCTGGGTTTGGGAGATTTCATCTTTTACAGTATGCTGGTGGGTAAAGCATCAGCTACAGCCAGCGGTGACTGGAACACGACGTTAGCCTGCTTCGTGGCCATTCTCATTGTGAGTATTTCTAATAAGGCAGCTGTATAGATCAGGCTTGTTTCAGGGATTATCATGCAGACTTGCACTTAAATTCAATTTTTACAGATTCCCTACCTCTTTACACATGCACTACCTGACAAAAGTCTTGTCATCGCTCCCAGTTGTAGGAGCAACAAATAATAACTTGACTCTTAGTTGGTCATTTGGAAAAGGTGGATTTTTCTGCTGGATCATCTGTTGAGCTGCATCCCAATCATCACCAATACTGCAGAAGACCTACTGGAGCCAAGATTCTCACAGAAATCAGTCAAGTTTGGTGAAGGAAACATCATGGTTTGGGGTTACATTCAGTATGGGGGCGTGCGAGAGATCTGCAGAGTGGATGATCAACATCAACAGCCTGAGGGATCAAGACATTTGTGCTGCCCATTACATTACAAACCACAGGAGAGGGACAATTCTCCAGCAGGATAGCGCTCCTTCTCATACTTCAGCCTCCACATCAAAGCTCCTGAAAGCAAAGAAGGTCAAGCTGCTCCAGGATTGGCCAGCCCAGTAACCAGACATGAACATTATTGAGCATGTCTGGGGTAAGAGTAAGAAGGAGGAGTTGAAGATGAACACAAAGAGTCTTGATGAGCTCTGGGAGTCCTGCTGAAGGCTTTCTTCTTCATTCCAGATGACTTTATTAATCAGTGATTTGAGGCATGTCAGAGATGTATGGATGCAGTCCTCCAAGCTCATGATGGAGTCAGACACAATATTCATTCTGTCTCCACTGCAGCAGGACTTTATATTCTATACTGGACATTATAGAATCAAGTTATTATCTGTTCTTCCTAAAACTTGTATAGGCGACAAGACATTTGTCAGGTAGTGTAGTGCTCAGCATAAATGAGAACATCCCTTTTGAATGAAAACAAGTTAACTGCACACTCTTAGAAATCAAAAACACTGTAAAAGTGACGAGCAGTTTACTAAACTAACATAAGGCAAACATTTCAGTCAAGTGTTGACTATTGTCAATGCCAAAGAATGTAATAGGAAATGGGAGCCATTTTAAGTCAATAGTTTGTCAATAAATGAAATTAAAGGAAATTGGAGGAAAAATGAAAAAGAAAAACTTGCATGTGTCCTATAAACACAAAAAAATATATTTTTTAAATTTATGATTTTATCTATTGCTCAATGAAAATAGACAATAAAATTTGGTGCATGTTTGGTTGCCAACAAATGCCAACAAAAAAGTTTATTTATTTTAATTTGTAAAATTAGATTTTTCTAAAAATATTACAGTTTTCGGCAACATTTTATTTTGTGTGCACATATTTTTAAACTCAATTATGCCGAACAATATTTATATTAGATAGATAGATAGATAGACAGACAGACAGACAGACAGACAGACTGACTGACTGATAGACAGACAGACAGACAGACTGACTGATAGACAGACAGACTGATAGACAGACAGACAGTTAGATAGACAGACTGATAGACAGACAGACAGACAGTTTGATAGACAGACAGACAGTTTGATAGACAGACTGACTGACTGATAGACAGACAGACAGACAGACAGAATGATAGACAGACAGACTGAAAGACAGACAGACAGACAGTTAGATGGACAGACAGACAGACTGATAGACAGACAGACAGACAGATAGATAGATAGATAGATAGATAGACAGACAGACAGACAGACAGACAGACAGACAGACAGACAGACAGACAGACAGACAGACAGACAGACAGACAGACAGACAGACAGACAGACAGACAGATAGATAGATAGATAGATAGATAGATAGATAGATAGATAGATAGATAGATAGATAGATAGATAGATAGACAGACAGACAGATAGTTATTGATTTTTTTTATTTCAATAATATATTACTTGTTAATTTCTTTGGACTCTGATTTAATGGCTAAATTTAAAAACTGAAATACACTATTTTTTTCTCAACCTCTGTGAATAATAAAAAATAAAAAAAAGATGATCTGACTAACACATCTGCTATTCAGAATCACTATTCTGAGCAAATGCTTCAGTTTTGCTGCACAGTCCGTCAGACAATCAACTCAAAACCCTCTTGGCTTTGTTTCTCCTCAGGGTTTATGTCTGACTCTCCTCCTGCTGGCCATCTTCAAGAAGGCTCTTCCCGCACTCCCCATCTCCATAACCTTCGGCCTGGTGTTTTACTTTGCCACTGATAACCTCGTGCGGCCGTTCATGGACCAGCTGGCCGTCCATCAGTTCTACATATAGAGAGGTCGCCTCTCACACACTCCACTTTCATGCTCTTCAGGGAAACGTGAGCCCTGCAGACGAGCACACCTTTCCTCTTTTCTGGACATGTGACTGGATTCACACTAGTTTTTTTTATTTTGGCATTAAATGACTGGTTATTAATTACAGTGCCTCTCCATCTGATCCTGATATATGCTTTAGTAGCAGCATTGATCGGAACATTTGTTTTCGGAGAGAACGCAGAGCACATCTCAAGTCACACGTATGTATGAATGCATTAGCGTAGGGCAGGGGTGTCAAACTCAGTTGCTGGCGTTTAGCTCCAACCCTGCTTCAACACACTCACCTATAGGTTTCAAACAAGCCTGAAGGACTCGGTTATTTTAATTGGGTGTGTTTAATTAGGGGTAAAGCCAAACTGTGCAGAGCTGCGGCCCTCCAGGAACTGACTTTGACACCTGTGGCGTAAGTGGGGGATTTTTATAAACTGTGTCATATGGAACGGGACCAGAGCTTGCTTTGTTTGTCCCCAATCTTGGATTCACTCTTCAGGCATTATGTTAATTCCAGCGTTGGTGTATAGCGAGTTTCAACTCAAAGCTCTCTCTGCACGTATGCAGGTAGGTACCGATTGCTTTGGGCTTATGATCATGTCCGCTTTACTCCAGCATTAAATCAAGTGCTGATCCAAGCTACTGTTAATGCTCGCTTTTGACATCGGGAGCATCGTTTTTCGGAATGTATAAAACAATTATCTTCTGTTTTCTTCATGTCTGGGCAGGAACTGTTTGTCCGTTTGTTAATTTTTGGCTGTTGTTTTGTTTTCTTTTTTTATTTAGGGTTGATGTTCATTTTGTATTACCCATTTCAAGGAAACGCGGGGGGTTTTGTAAGTAATTGAATGATTCACTATTAAAGGGGTTGCTCTTTTTGAGCAAATACACATGTTCTGGATTTCCGCTCAAAGTTCTTTAATATTCTTTAAAGTTCAAGCTCTTACTAGCAAATACGCTACTTAGGGTAGGTTTTGTTGTACGTTTCAGATGTTAAATCCACTAGAGGGCACTGTCTACATTTGTGCGAATCTGAAATGCGTTACTTAGGGAATGTTTTGTTGTTTGTTTAAAATGTTAAATCCACTAGAGGGTGCTGTCTACATTTGTGCAAATCTGAAATGCATTACTTGGGATACGTTTTATTGTTCGTTTCAGATGTTAAATCCACTTGAGGGCGCTATCTACATTTGTGCAAATCTGAAATACATTACTTGGGGTATGTTTAACTGTACGTTTCGGATGTTAAATCCACTAGAGGGCGCTGTCTACATTTGTGCGAATCTGAAATACATTACTTGGGATACGTTTTACTGTACGTTTCAGATGTCAAATCCACTAGAGGGTGCTGTCTACATTTGTGCATATCTGAAATACATTACTTGGGATACGTTTTATTGTACGTTTCAGATGTTAAATCCACTAGAGGGCACTGTCTACATTTGTGCGAATCCGAAATTTGTTACTTGTGGTATGTTTTGTTGTACGTTTTAGATACATGTCTGTCTTGTACACATCCAGAAAGCAGAGCTTGTCATATAGATAAGCTAGCGAACCACTCACCTAAACCCCTTTCCTAAGCACAACCAATAGTGTTTTACATGTACAGCCTTCAGCATAGTTTTGCAGATCTCACTACAGCTTTTTCCATCATCTCCGTTTGATCATTTATAGCGCAATATTGCATTTGAAAACAAAACTAAAAAAAAACACAAATATACTTTGAACTGAAGGAAATCAGGATTGTGCAATAAGTGGAGTAAAGGCTACAATGCACTACACTACACAATGCAATCGACTAACTAGTGATGAGAGAAACAAAACTTCGAAACCATTTAACCAATTAAGATTAGTGTCTTCAAACAAACTCAAATCTTTGGAACAAATGGAGGATGGTTCAAAAATGATGACAATTTTCATTTTTGAAGACCCTAAAGATGTGGGTAGATGTTTATCTTGGCTAATGTGGAGTGGCAAACAATGAGAACAATGGGGGGATAATCAGTAGGGGTGTCAAAATTAATTGTTTTTTCGGTGCACTGCGATGCAGACGTGGACAATTCGGTATCGGTTATGTACTGGCGTTATTTATGTCCTGTGCGCTCTGTCGCGAGGGAGGTGAGCGCGAGTATTTACAACACTCAGCCAACTCAGGGCCGGCCCGTGCCATAGGCACCATAGGCAAATGCTAAGGGCGCTGTATATCCAGGGGGGTGCCAGAAATAAGCGCGGTTCAGTTGGTTTTGTTTTCGATATTCTTGACACACATTCAGTTATAGACGGCAATAACTCAAAAACGTCTTACCCTAAAAAGATCTAAAGTGTGTTTCCAACAAAAAGACAAAGCTGGTTATGTTTCACAGCTGTCTTTCTTTTTTTTCGCTCGACATTACGATCACTGCTCCGTTTAAGCCCTCGCAATATGTGTTAAAGGAAGGTAAAGGACTGTTGAAAAACTGCTTCTTTTTTTCTCTTTTCTTCGTTTTTCTGCTCCGCTCTTCGCGAGCTCTCCCTGTTGCGAGGGCTTAAGTGTGTGTGTGTGTTTGTTTGTTTGTTTGTTTGGTGCTGTCTATGTTTGTGTATGTGTTTGAATGAGAGACAGTGTGGTGCTGTGTGTTTATACAGACTGCTTGTTATAGCCTCCCCCCTAAAATATAACACTATATATAGAAAGCATCGTCGATGCACCGAGATATCGAATTGAACCGAATCGAAGGCATGATAATCGTAACCGAACCGTGAGACCAGTATAGGTTCACACCTCTAATAATCAGTCACACACACTCAACCTGATGATTGTGTTCACCTTTACCTTGTTGTGTTTGACCTATTGTTCAGTCATGTCGAGTGGGTCTGTCTAGAAGTCCTGAGAACATTTTAGAAATTCAAACCACTTTTGCATTTAATAATGTTAAAGAGGTTTCAAATGGATTCATTAGATTATAAACCTTACCATTTCGCTGGAGTGCAGTATTTTGTGCTTCTGAATGGCTGTATTTACGTTTCTGTCATGTTTTCGTCTCACTGCAAATCTCATCATGTATTGTGTTGTTAGGGCACAGGGTTACAATGTAACCTGCTCACCTAATGTTAACGTTCGTAATATTTATATTATTTGCTAATTAATAACCACCTCATGAGGAACTCTGAATCTGCTTCTCATTTCAGAGTCTGCTACTGTCCATCGGAGGACGCATTTTCAGTAGCAGACCTTATTTAGTCACACATACTTGCTCTAAACCTGATGATTGTGTTCACCTTTACCTTGTTGTGTTTGACCTATTGTTCAGTCATGCCGAATGGGCCTGGAAACGATGGGAACATTTGAGAAATTCCACAGCATTGTAAGACTGTCACTCCTGCTCTGAGTGCCGGACCCTCTGGAACTGGCCTGAAGCCCTTGAGGTGGCGACCCGCATGCTGGGATGTCTTTGTATTCTAGCTTTGGTGATTAGGTTCAAGCTGAGCCTTCACATTCCACCACAGCGTCTCACCTGAAGTCTGCAATTATATTGTTATGCCACAGGTGAAATCAACAGACTTCCAAAAAAAACATAGCAGGCACTTGCACATCACTACTACTATTGCTTGGGCAGTTTCCAAAACTTGGCACATTCTTCAGCGTTTTAGTTAATAACGTACGTGACACCTCAGATCACCTCAATCATCAGGCTTTTTGGATTTTTGCCTGCTGGAAAATATCAAATGATTGCGAAATAACTTGGAATACAACAAAAGTTTGTTAAAACAAGATTAGTTTGAGCTGAAGCATTTAAAGGGACAGTCATTTATTCTGACTATGCTGCCTTGCCATTGCTGCGGCAGATTCCTATAGACTTATCAGAATAAAAATAGCAACTTTTCATTTTCCATCGATCTTGGTTCATGATGTAACTACATGAAGCCCAGTTGAGCTCTAAATAGGAAAATTATTGAAACACTCTAGTCATTTTTGAGTGAGATGCTAATGGTCTAATCCAATTCAATGATTTGTGCTAAGCTAAAAGTGCTCCAGCCAGACCTTAAAATCGGCTGAATGGATTCAAAAATGGTTTAGTTGAGCCTATTTTCAAGAAAAGCTGAAATGTTGCTTCAAATTTGAGCCAAATATGGCCCTTTAGCTATGTTTAAAAATCTAATATTTACAAGTTAAACATTGTATGTGTAACGGAGGCCAGCTAGTGTGTGCTATGCAGGTAAACCTCACTCTTCTGACCTCTAAAGGTGCTCTAACGACAGACGCTAAAGGCCATGGTCGTTAGCCTCCTTGGTAGAGCGACCGACTCCCATGCGGAAGGTTGCCGGTTCGATCTCAGCCTGGAGAGGGTTGGGTGGTTTAGGACCGGTGGGGTTACATTGGTGCCATGACTCAGATGGGAGTGAGGTTTACGGGGGTGAGTGTAACGTAGACCAGCTAGTGTGCTGTGCAGGTAAACCTTACTCCTCTCAGATGTTGACTACTGTATAGCAGTAAACTGTACTCATCACCTGAGGCAGACTTTACTAGGACATTACAAAATGCACAACATTTTAAGTTGGAATTTAAGTTTATCTCCTAGAAACCTAATGTTAGGAATCAAAGCTAACTTCTTTGATTGCCTGCTTTTCCCCCCCTCCTTCAGGTTCATTCAGTTCCCGGTAAGGTATTAAGCTGGCTTATTTAAGGCCAATGAAGGCTGTAAGACACTAAGGATAGCTCCTCTAAGGGGATTAGTAGACGTCTGAGGGAGTGTCCTACAACACGCAAGTCAAGCCAGTGCTCAGGGATTAAGCCATAAGTGATTACTCGGGACACTGCAGACACCAAGGACACTGCCACTCTGATATCTGCAACCCAAACCTACACCTTCTACCCAGCAAGCATGTCGAAGGAGAAGCTGGACGGTCTGGTGAAGCGCATGGAGTTGACCCTGGCGGAGATGGAGCAACTGAAGCTGCACTGCGGCCGGCAGAGCGAGGAGCTGAGCCAGCTGGTGGTGGAGCTCCGCAGAGAGAACCAGGAGCTGGCCGAGAAGTACAACCAGCTGGCGCAGGACATGAAGGAGGCCAAGGAGATCATCGAGCAGCTGCAGGACACCAAGTACGCTTTCGACGCGAAGGAGCGGCAGGCCCAGAAGCTCAGCCGGCAACTCTGAAAACACCGGGAGTGGACTGGCGACTTTAACGTTCACTGAACGCATGCGACACAACATTGGAAGAGACAAAGACTACTTACAGAAGACTGAAAAATTGAACGCAATCTTACAACAATTCGTACCTTTTTAATTTAGTGGCTAATTTGTGTTAGTTCGTACAAACCCATTTGTACAGTTTAGGATGAGTTCCGCATCCATCAGTAAAGGGTAGGGTTAGGGGTGGCTTTGTGAACGCTCCTCTTTTTAACAATTGCACGTTTTTATACAAATTGAATTGTACGAATTTGTACAAATTGGCCACTTTTCTGACAATGGGTAAAATCGTTACGTTTGCTCATGAGATCGGACTGGAAAAATTACATGGCAATGAAAGAGTATTTGAAACAATGACGCACTGTGTTTTTGTGGAAACAGAAACTAATTAAAATGCCAATGCTGATGTAAATTTTCTTGTACTTGGAAATTCGTAACTTTCATCTAGCAGCTAATTTGTAATCTCATTCGAACACTAGTATAATTTCCTCATCCCCCAATGAGGGAGGGGTGGGGTTTGGAGGCACGCTTCCTTTTAACAATTTCCTGTTTTTATACGAATTGAATTGTACGAATTTGTACGAATTAACCACTTTCGGACTGTAGGTAAAATAGTAACGCTTCCTTGTGAAATCGGGCTGGAAAAATGACAACAATGGAAATGTGTTTGAACCAATTACACTGATTCTGTGGGAACAGAGAACCTAATTAAAATGTCAACGCTAATGTT